AAGGCCCTCTATGAGGTGGATTGATTCAGTGACTGGAATAATCGGGATGGGAGTGTCGGAGACAGTGCGATTGGCACGGGACAGAGCAGAGTTTAGGGCTGCTGTACATAGGGTCACTATGAGTCGCAAGCGATTCGATGGCACACAACAACAACAACAACAACTCAAGTATGAATCCAGAGATGCTAGGACAATCAGACACACAATTCTTTCTACTCTTCTCACCACTGTTATCAGACAGGAACTCGGCAAAAGACTTAAAACTTAATGACAAAAGGAGGCTTTGTCCGACATATTTTGGACATTTTGAAAGGAAGGACTGGTCCTTGGAGTCAGATATCATGCTTGGAAGGGTGGAGGGACAGAGAAATAGAGGAAGACCATCAATGAGATGGATGGATTCAGTGACTGGAGTAATGGGGGTAGGTGTGTCAGAGACAGTAAAGTTGGCACAGGATAGAGCAGGGTTCAGGACTATTGTACATAGGGTCACTACGCATAACAAGCGACTCAACAGCACATAATAACAACATAAAGAAAAAAAACCCTCTTGACTCTTGTTTTCTCATAGTACATCCCTTTTCATGCTTCATTCACAATCCTTTATTTCTTGAGGAACAGCGACCAAGCCTGAGTGTCAGAGGTTTTTACAACATGCATATGATAAATTCCTGAATGGGAGGGGTGGGCACATTAGCCTATCTGACGGGGTCAATAACCCACAATAAATCCCTGTGACTACATCAGAAGGAGAATTTCTCACATGATGAATTGTGAAACTCCTGTGATAGCTATTAAGGCGTCTCTCAATCTGGCCACACCTCTAAGGGCAAAGGCTCTGGTACCCAGCCTGCCACACTGACCAAATGATTTGTAAATAAATCTAAAGTGAACAGAACAAAGAGCAAGCACGTCTGCATAAAGCACAAACGCCAACCCAACTTTACATCACAAATACGGAGCCCATGTGCTACAGAACTGAACCGCCACATCCACACAGGTGGAAGGAGAGGACAAAACAAGGTGCCATTTTAGGGGTAACAAGGAGCTCTTCAGGGAGAGGTACTGCCAACCCAAAGGCACATGGTTCAAATCCACCAGCTCAAGTCTATTAGAGAACAGGCTCCACTGTATTAGAGATGGGGAGGATGGCACAAAATAGGGCAAGGTGCAGGCCCGCTGTTCACTCAGCAGCACCTAACAACAACAATTATTACCTATAGTAGTAATTACTAAGTATAACAGTAACTATAATTAATAACTGTTACACATTAGTTCTGACTTGACAGTAGACAACAATAATTATAATTACTCTCCTTTTCAAAGTTCAAATGTGTCTAAAAGGCTAGAATTGCAGAACCTTGCTCCACATGGACCAGACCTTACTGGAAGCAGGTACATCTGACCTAAACATGTAACAAGAGGGCATGGCTGAAAATGACACACAGTCTCACAAGCAAATACGCAGGGGTCATTTTAAATGATGGAGAAAATAACTAATAAGACAAGAAAATGCTCCCAGTATATTGTTAACACGTTGTCGCACACTTTTAAACTGATGACCGTGCTTAGAAACACATTTTGACGTCATTTGCGGCAACATGTTAAAAAATATGTTGCTTTAATATGAAAAAAAAAGTCAACTGTATTTTAAAATCAATTTAAAGAAGGTTAAGCTCAGAGCATGAAAACAGCCTCGTTCACTCTGCCAAGTAGGTCCCTGGTGCTGCCCACTGGGTTTCTGAGACTGTTTTAATGGGAGGAGGCTGCACCATCTTTGCCCTTCAGTGTCGCTGGCAGCTTCCCAAGAGCTAGACAGGCTTTGGGCTAACAGCGTAAGGTTTTATAGACTGTAACTGTAAGAATCAAACCTCAAAAAAAAAAAAAAAAAGAATCAAACCTCAGCTTATGCTAAAGTGCAGCTACCTCTGCCCCTCCTCCTTCAGACCGAGTGCACTGCTCCCCCTCCTTCCCCCTCCTTCTGCCCGCGTGGCTACCTTATCTCATATTGGAGCAAAATGTTCTTCTTTGTAAAGGCATAGAAAAAAACTTCCCCACATTCCTGTACCTAAAGGTAACTACTCACCAATCACACCCCAACAAGTCTCCAGGCTACCCCCCTGCGCAATGGTCAACAATCGAATGCAAGCCATTATACCAGCTGCTCTAAATAGCCAACCATAGCTCAATTAGTTAGACAAAAAATTTAAAAAGGTATAAAAGGAAAAGCTGGCTTTGTCTCGGGGCTCTCACATGGATGCTGCTGTTTCAGTCCATGAAGGTCCCAGTTCGAATTTGGAATAAACTTTGCTAATTTGGCTAATTGGCTCAGTGATCTTTTTGGGGACTCGCTCCGTTACAGTAACACCAGAGCAAAACAGCTTAGCGGTGGTCTATTTCACCCCCTCCACCCAAACTAAACATGTTCTCTGTAACTCCTTGAAAGCTCAATGACTCAAACATTATTAAACCCTTGTGTTCTCCACCACAAAGATTTAATAGTCAGAGTAACCAGCACAAAAAGAAAAAGCCCCGCCCGGAGCACTTTTCTCTGCACCTGGGCGTAGCATAAGAGCTTCTCCGTGGCCTCCGGGTCTTTATTCCAGATGAGATCTTCACAGAGCTGCAGGAGCTCCTGGTGGATGTCGTCATACACAGGGAGGTTGCCAGCATTCACTATGCCCATATCCATGCCAAACTAAGGGAGGGAGAGAGAGAGACATCTGGTCACACCCTAAGCCAGGGGTCAGCAGGTAGGCTGTATGAAAAAGACAGGCAGAAAAGATTTTAAGTCATACAGTGTACAAATATTCTGCACTCACACACTATATACAGTAAGGCCCTAGTTACCACCTACCATCATATGGCTTACGGACAATGTGTATTCATCCTTTAATGTTAGGAAATGTCATGAATATTTATTTGCCCTCACTTTGAAGCACTAGAGGAGACTGTCCAGCTTTCTCCAGCCCTCCCCACGCTCACATGCATCTGAGGTGAATGAAAATAATATGGGCTCAGTCACATCTAAGTCCTCCAACTGACATATTTGCTTTTTGGTATTTTAAGGCGGCCTTCTGCAGTAGATCTGCCTACTGCAACATGTCTTTTGAGCTCCTATTGCTTCCATGGGTGTTGACTGTGGATCATGATGCTGCCTACTGGCCCAGTGGTGAGGTATTTATTTACTGCCCAATTTATTTTTATTGGTTTGCATATATCATTTGTATAAATCATGTTTTGTACATGTACTCCGTGTTTTATACAATCGCTATATATGTTGTGTTTCATTCATGTACCTTTTGTTTTATGGCCTGTTTGCTTGATGTTGAGTTGTAATCCATACTGAAAGTTTTAGTCTTGGATCTCCTTCAGCAAGTGCTTCAAGTCATTTTCACTTTCAGCAAATAAAGCTGTGCCACAGGCCTATACATGGCTGCTGATGAGTCCTCCTCCAACCCTGATGCCACCAAGTTCTTCATACAGTCTAGCTTCTTGGAATTTTGTTGCTCTTCATACAGATTAAATGGACATAGAGAAAGGATACAACCCTGATGCACATTTCTTTTCCAAACAAATTCTCCACCATGCAGCTTTTGCTAACTTTCAAACACTTGTAGTGACCCTAGAGGACAGAGAAGAATTGTCCTATGGACTTTCTGAGGCTGCAAATCCTTAAAGACACAGACTGACTCATCTTCCTCTGGCAGAGCAGCTGGAGGATGTGAACACGCTACCTTTTGCCTGGTAGCCCAATGCCTGGCCCACAGCACCACTAGGGCTCCTTTTTCTTGCATTAAAGTAAGGCTGCTGCTAGGTGGGACAAACAAGTTCATCCTGGAGAGTGTTAAACCAGGCTGCTCCTCGGAGGCAAGGATTCTGAAGTTTCATCTGACATACTTTGGACATATTGCAAGGAGGGACCCGTCTTTGGAGAAGGATATCATGCTTGGGAGGGTAGAGGGAGCACAGGAGAGGAAGACCCTCAGTGAAATGGCTTGCTTCCGTCACTCAGTTACTGGGTATAGGCGTGTCGGAGACAGTGATATTGGCAAGCGATAGAGCAGGGTTTAGGGCTGTTGTACTTAGTAGGGTCGCTATGAGTCACAAACGATTCAATAGTACATAACAACAAGAAGTAAGAACTGTAAGCAGGTCTCCTGACTCACTGAATGATTTACCTAGGAACAAGGCTCGTATATGTAAACAAAAAACAAACAAAAACGGTTGCTAGTGAACCTATTTTGTTTCATGGAGACCCAAAAGGCTGGAGCAGAACTGCCCCACAGGGCCCCCAAAGCTGCAATCAAATAGAAGCAGGCTGCCACATCTTTCTCCCACAGAGATGCTGACAGGGTGAACTGGAGACCCTCTAGTCAGCAGCCAGGTGCTTTACCCACCACACCATCAAGAAAACGTTCTCTCTGAAAATTGGAAGCAGGCCATCTTAGCCAGCCCTTGCCCTAAACCACAGCCCGCTTCCGAAGGACAAACAGGTCTTGCCCATACCTTGATCGCATGGTAAAGGAAAACCCCATGCATCGCTTCTCGAATGGCCTCCATTCCTCGAAAGGAGAAAGACAGGTTGGAAAGGCCTCCGCTTATTTTGGCTCCGGGTAATGTTTCCTGACAAAGAAAATTGTGAAATGTGAAAAGATTTCTCTATTTTACCCAAAGTTACCTCTCTTAAATTTTATGTTTACGTAGACAAGCAAAATGCATATAAGGTGCAATAGTAAAATCATTGTTTTTTCTTCACTAGACATAACCCAAAACTTGACATGTTAAGGCATTACAAGGCACAGGGTCATAGTTTTTCTCCTAGATTTGCATCTCCCTAAGGAAAAATACAATATCTTGCTTTATTTTTGCATATTTCTACAAAAACCATGATAAGGTCTCACACATAAAGAGGGCCCACATAGTATTTGCTAGATCAATCACAGAGAGATTATAGAGCTAAAGACAGGCAGAAGCAGAATGACACTCTGAGCACAACCAATAATACCAAGTATTAACATGCACGTGGGGCAAATGAACCTCTCTTCCACTGCTGGCTGAAGTGAAAACTGGCCAAAACACACAGGGAGAGAGTCTGTCATCGCATTCTCCTAGGATTCAGCATGTCCATTCCAGAATCCATACTGTAGAGAGACTTGTGCACACATGCCCGAGACACACACACAGGCACACTCACAGGAGAGCTGTCCATAAAAGCCTCCACTGCACACTACCCAGGTGCCTATCAGCAGAGAAGCAGTTCCAGGACAACATATCGTAACAAAAATAAACTAAAGCAATCAGGTTGAGTAAGAAAAGTTCACATGCAGGCAAAACTAAATGTTGTTTGGATACACACATGGAAGTCATAAACTTTAAAAAGAGAAACAACCAAGAACATCATAAACCTCAGGATGACAGCCACTTCATAAAGTTCAGGATGAGGGTACAGTGAGAAGGGGGGAAGGCAGAGGGGCACAAGCCACGTTCTATGTTGGGATAATGAAGTGTTTCAGAATTATTTATTAAAGTATGTTTTCTGTGTTCCCAGAGCGTGTGTTATATTCCACAATTTAAAGTGTGGTGCTGGAGAAGAGTCTCGAACATACCATGGACTGCTAAGAAAAAAAAAACACATGACTGTCATGGAGAAGGTGAAACCAAGTTTCAGAGGCTAGGATTTTGAAGCTCTGTCTCACCTACTCTGGGCACATGGCCAGGAGGGACCAGTCCTTCTAAAAGAACATCAGGCTCGGAAGGGTGGAGGGACAGCACAGAAGAGGAAGACCTGAGTGAGATGGACTGATATAGTAACTAGGGCAAAGGGGGTAGGTGTATAGGAGTCAGTCAGACTGGCTCAGGACAGGGCAGAGTTCAGAAACAGTTGTACATAGGGTAACTAGGAGTTGCAGATGACTCGACGGCACATAACAACAACAACAACAACAACAAAGTAAAGTGACATAAACAAATAAAAGCCATTAAATTTCAGAAGAAAAAAAAATTACTACCTAATTGTGAAAATGTCAACATTACCCACTCATGAATAAATACATAGCTCCAACTGTTCACTGAAACAACAAAATAAATTTGGGCTAAGTGTTGGGCAGAAGCAGGGAGATACCCAAACCTACTTTGATGGCTTTTGTTGCCTGGATAAAATTAACAGCATACAAATTGTGTTCTTCCATTCCAGTACCGATGGTGAGGATGTTGGGGTCAAAGATGATGTCACATGGATTAAAGGCCAGCTTGTTCACAAGTAGATGGTAGGCCCGGGTGCACACTTTAATTTTGGTGTCTATTTCAGTTGCCTGGGTAAAAGTGCAAAAGACGTTGCTTAACACAAAAATGAAGTGTTACTCCAAAGCAGAAGCACTCTTCACTTGTCAAAAGCACTCACACATCAATATTTGGATGTCACGAAAACATAAATGCCAAACAGTCTCTCAAGATTTAGCAAGTGATCTCAGAAGAGGAATTAGCTTAAAGATGCCACTGTATTTTCATCAGCACAACAGTTAAATTGCCTCTGTAAAAATCAAAGCTTATATTCACACACATACAATTTATTAATAAGTTTCAAAAATACATGTGATAAAAATTCAAACACTAAAAATGAACAGAATGAAAAAAATAAATGTTACTCTTTCTTTTGACCTGCGGTTTTCTCACCCATCACTCTGAGTCAGGAAATGATCCTGTTTTCATGTGTGTGTGTCTGAATATATTCTGCACTAATATTTCTTGTATAGTCTTCACTACTATATACATGTACACTATAGATACATACATTTATGCTATGAATAATACTGTTACATATCATCCAATCAAAAAACCACTCACAGCTGATTGTCCAGAGGCAGCAGATAGTATGGGTATGGGAGGAGGTTGCCTGTCTTTCCACCTGCTACTTCCCACTATCCTCCGGATAAGAGCCACCTCTCCCAATCCATTCTCTCTCACTTATCTTCTCACCTAATGTCCCTTCTGCCACACCAGCCCTCTGACATTCCCCAAAACAAGGCTCATCTTCCCAGATTTTACACCCACCTCAACCGCTGCTGGAAGCTACAGCCCAGCTCTGTCCTGCAGCTCTGTCCTGAGTATCACTGGGGTCTACACCCAAATGCCACCCTTTCAGGGAAGCCTCATAGCCTTGCAAGGCCAGTCCCCTTCCACCCTACTAGCCCCCCCATTCTCCAATTGCCTTCTATTCTTTAGTCTTCTTAGTAGCATTTTCCCCCCTCTAAAGTTAGTTGACAACCTGTTTAGTTTTTTATTATTTACTTTCTTATGTATTTTCATCTTCCAGAAGTAGAATGTCAACCATAGTATTTCCTCACTTCCTAAGCAATGTCTGTGGTAGAGCACAAGCCCAGTTATCTGAATGGCTGGATAAATGAACAAATACAACCTCAACTAAGGCATTTCGGACCTTGAAGTTAGAAACTGGCTTCCTATCAGATTAACAATTTCGGTATACAATGGACTCATCAAATGACATTCTGAATAATTTCAGGCTTTATGAAAAATCAATAGACTTTGAAAAGGTAAATACTTGTTATCACATATAATTCTGACAAAGAATTCTCAATAAATAAAAAACATTCTTGAAACATGGCCAGCACCCCTGAAATAAGTGAAATAACCTTTCTTGGGAATGGGAACAAATATAGACCTCTTCCAACCAGCTGGCCAGACAGCTGTCCTCCAAGCCCCCTGGCAAAGACTGGTGAGTGCACCCAGGGCTGCATCTGTTAGTTTAAACAAATAAATTGGCATCCCATAGATTCTTGGGGCCTTATTTTTTGCCAGTCCCTTCAATGCAGTTTCCACTTCTGCCCTCATTACCATTGGCTCCTGTTCATATAGTACTTCCTGAAATTTTTCAATGCTAGTCAATTCTTTTTAGTACAGTGACTCTGTGTATTCCTTCCATCTTTTTTTTTTATGCTTCCTGGGTCATTCAACATATTGCCCATAGCAACTGTCAATATTATGACTCAAGGCTTGAATTATTTTTCAGTTCCCTCGGTCTGAGAAATGCAGAGTTCTTCTTTATTCTCCAATTCCAGCTCTCTGCACATTCTATTATAATATTTTGCTTTGTCTTCTCAAGCTTCCCATTGAAATCTTCTGTTCAGCGCTTTTATTTCAGCATCTTTCCCCTCTGTTTTGGCTTCTCAACTCTCTAATGCATTTTTTTAATTATTATTAAATTTTATTAGTTTTAATGAACATTTACAGAGATTCTGGGTTTTCATTCATTCATTGTTGCACTGTTTTCTCTACCCTCCTCCCCAGTTCGTTCTTCTTCCCCCATGTCTGTTTTAATTGTCTAATTGCCACAGTGCTTGTCAAAGCCAGTTCTGATTAATCTCCTTTGTCAGTGTGCCCTTTGCCATTCCCTATCACTCCTCCCTGAGAGAGACTTCACCCTGATTCATAAGGAAAAGGGGATGGCATATTCTCTTAGCTACTTCCTGCTGAAAAGGGACGCTGTGGGTTTCAGGGTGAAGATCTTCTCTCACTACTCTAAAGGGCCCCTTTGGCAGTAGGAAACACATAGACTATTATGGAGATTGATTTTGGAATTTAGATGCACTGTTATTAATTGTGCTTAGCCATACATGTTCATATCCTTGAAGATGTATCATGGAGGTGTTGCAACCTAGAAGACACAAATTTAACTGACAAGTTAAAAGTACATGAGTCAAAAATTAACAAGCAATAATATTCCGAGTAGAGGTTCTAGTAGTGGCACAAATCAAGTTACAGAGGGAAGGTGGTTCTTACAATAAAAGGCCTATAGGCTAGCACTTTGTCTATTATAGTGTACAGGTTAGGAACCACAAGATGTAGAGGTTCAGCTATGTCATTTATGCTTCTTAAGTCCTGGAGCAAATTCCATCTACCACTGGGCTGTTTTACAACTCGGAAGTTCACATGCAAGGTAGAGGTGAAGTAAGGAACTGCTTATGAGGTTTTCCGTCCATTCCAACAACTAAGACATAGTAAGAAGAGCTGGGACCTGAGAAGGCTTTTAGGACCAATTAGTAGACTCTGTGTCCAGGAGAAAATGAATATACTTACCAGTAATGTTAATGCTCATCCATGGCTCTTCTGGGAGGATCTAAATTGTTGAAGCTCTAATGCATTTTTAGAGTCTCCTCAGACATCAGCTTTGTTTTTTTCTTTCTCTTTTGTCTTCAAAAGTATTTTTTTTCTCTCTCCATGGATGATATCCTTGATGTCAACTCATCTAGTCTTCAATCACTGGTGTTCAAACCTATTCTTAAGATGATTTTGAAATTCAGATAGAATAGATTTAAAACCATAATTTGGTTCTCGTTTTCATTTTCTTCAGCCTCTATTAGAACCTGCACATAAGTTACTGATGTTCTGACACTCAGTCCACCCCTGGCTCATTTTGACTGTCAATGCTGAGCTTCTCTAACAATTCCTCCCACAGATATATAGTCATTCTGATTCCTATGCAGTCCAACAGGTGAGGTCCAAGTGCAAAGTCGTTGTTTGCATTTTTTATAAAAGGTATTTGCAATGAATAAATCACAAAATTTGATCATTCTATTTTCCAGCCTCATTTTTTAAACCAAATTATAATTTTCTACATAGTTCTAGTTTTCAGTCTTTCCTATCTCTGGTTTGAATTATGCCTAAATATTTCATCTACTGTATATTTCATGGCTACTGTAAATGGAATTGCTTTCAGTTAATTTTTGTAGGTTGATCTTATTATACTCTGTCACTATGATAAACTAGTCAATTAGACTCACTCATTCTCCTGCTCAGTTCTCTAGGATTTTCTACTTATAAGGTCATATTATATGCAAATCAGAAAGTTTCACTTCCTCTTTGTCAATGTAGATGTATTTTATTCCCTTTCCTGCCTTACTGCTCAGGCTAGGACTTCCACTATGAAATCAACACTGGATGCTATTGTTGCTACTGAGTATTGTCGAGTGGTAAGTGGCTCACAGCTGACCCTCCAGTGGTTTTCAGAGGTTGTAAATTACCCAAGAGGAGATTTCCATCTTTCTCCCACAGAGTAGCTGGTGGATTCAAATCCTTTAACTTTGGGTGGGCAATGAAGTAAAAGTGGTTATAAAAGGCAACCTTGTCTGATTCCTATAATTAAGTGGAATGATGCTTTTAAATATGTTGAGAAATATTCCTTATATACCAATTTTATTGGGTGTTTTTATCAGGAATGAGTGTTGAATTTCTCCAAATGCCTTTTCTGTACAAGCTAAATGATCATATGGCTCTTTTTCTTTATTTATGTAGTGGATTGTTTTTCTGTTGTTGACCCAACCTTGCATTCCTGGTGGGAATCCTATTTGATCACAATGAATGATTTTCTTCCACATGATGTTGGATTCTTTAGGTAGCATTTTGTTGATAATAATTTCATCGATGTTCATGAGGGATAATGGTCTATGATCTTCTTTCTAAGTGGTGTATTTGCCTTTACCTTTGGTGTAGAGCTGTGCCTTTCTTCACTGACGAAAACGACTGCATAGAATTAGTAAAATTCACTGGACAGCGCTTTGGCCAGAGCACTTTTGATTGAGAGCATTCTTATGACTTGTTCAATTTATTCTTTGATGATGGATCTGTTCAAATGTTCTACCGCTGACAGTGTAGATAGGCAATGGGTTTTTAAATGTGTGTCCATTTTCTCTAGGTCTCCCAATGTGCTGACTCAAATCCTCCTGTGGCCTTCCAAATGCTCACAGCCATTGAGAGGCCCCTGTGAATGTCTCTGTAAACCTCATGAGCTACAATCACCTGTGACCATTTGTGCATAGGCCTATGGTGAAAATAAAAACTAAACCACAAAGTCTATCACACCCAATTAGTAGTGAAGTGAGGCTGGATACAACGTTTCAAAAGAAAAACTTAACAATGTATATCAAAATTCTGAACATGTCCACTTGAACCTTACAATCTCATCTACAGGAATCCATGATAAGAAAATAATTCTATAAGGGATACGAAGAGGAGTATGGCATCAGGATTGGAGGCAGACTCATCAATAACCTGAATTATGCAGATGACACAGCCTTGCTTACTGAAAGTCAGGAGGATTTGAAGCACCTGCTACAGAAGATCAAGGAATACAGCCTTCAGTATGGATTACATCTCAATGTCAGGAAAACAAAGATTCTTACCACTGGACTGATAGACAACATCATGATGAATGGAAAGAAGACTGAAACTGTCAATGGCTTCATCTTGTTTGGATCCATAATTAACACCCTTGGTATCAGCAGTCAGGAGATAAGGG